TGGTCTTGGCTACTTTGGAAAAGAAGTTTATTTATGAACCGGAAGATACTCTTGATGACTACCTCGTTTATCTCGTACTTGAACCACGACAACATTTATTTATTTGAGTGATGTATACATTAATATTTAACTTAAATTGCACTTTTAAAAAAATGAGTACGAAAGTTTGTAAGTAGGGCCTATAGATATTATTTTTTGCTTTGGTTAAGCTCCTTTGGCCAGTTTGTGGTACTGACGTCGTTAGTAAAAATACCAAAAAAAGAGAAAAAAAAACATTATGATAGATAAATTTTCCATCGTAGCTATTTCATTGATTTATCTACGACCTAAATTTCACTTACTCAGGAGGTTTGCTGTGGCGGGTGTATTTAATTAATGTTTCCACAAAAATATATCAATACAATTATTTTCATAAAACTCAGGTAACAGCCGAAGTTTAATGGCAACGGTTATAGAATATAACATGATACCTACTTTGTATGGTCGCCATTTCATAAGAAAGTATTTGATAAATTATTTATTTATCAATGACTAATTCCAGATGAACTATTATTTCAGCATCAGTTTTTGTTTATCAGCTGTGTGTAGTTTGTAGTGTGTAGTGAATTTGATAGTTCTGCTTGTTCCCATTTAAAAATATAGATGCGTTTGCACTTTGTTGCCATGAAACATACAACTGTAGTCATATATGCAAAACAAAATAATACCGCTACACCCTGTTGCGGTAAACCTTATAACTTTTTAATGCTATTGCATACCATAGAACCAATTTGTTTAGTTGAAACATGGGAAACTACAGAGCCACTGGGGCGGAGCCCGAAAAGACTTTTGAGATAAGAATAGGCCTATATGTCAAACAGGCATGAGAGCTATCATCATGACAAGTTTAACAGCCCAATCCGTCCAGTAGTTAATGCGTGATTGAACTTAAAACAAACACACAAGTTGTCACATTGTTTATAATATTAGTAAGATATAGATAGATATTTATTGTTTTTATTAAAGATATTGTCTGAATGCTGTTGCTTAAGATGCTCCGATCCTGCTAAAAACTGTTTTATTTAAAATGTATGTAGACCATTTACAGAAAAGGTCATTCATCACGGTACGTGTTCTATAAGACAACTGACTTTGAACACCTTTGAAAAGCTTAAAACAAAATTTAAATAATATTTTGCTTGAAAGTCAGCCTGAGCTACAAATATCCTTTGTGGAACCTCACGCCGAGTTAAAATGAAACACCAAGTTTGGAGAAAGTAATTAAAATGTAATTTTACACCAGTAAACCACTGGCTCTCGTATTCGAAGGTCTCAAAATAAAACGGAATAACTAAACCCCAGGGAGTTCTCTTTACGTTGATTAAGTCAAGTAAGAGTGTCTTAATGAACTTAGCTGTAAATTATGGCTCCCTTAGTCACTCTGCCTTGTAGTGGTAACAAAATCATAATTGCATTACTCCATGTCATCCAACTTAATAGTTTTGCAAGATGTAAAACAAATAAATAATGGATCATTTGTTTGCTTTAACTTTCAAGTTATTTTACATTTAATCAATAAATTCACATACGTTTGTTTAATTAAACTTTTTTTAATGTGTATTTAAAAAATATTACTTTTTTATATACATATATTTTGTAAAATGCTCAATAAGGTTTTATTAATACGTCTTTTTCGCCAATATCATAGGAATAGTGGGAACAATTCGCCCAAGGTTTAAAACACCACTAAAGATATAAAATTTTTCATGGTATAGTTGTTTGTAATGGATATTTCCTTGAAAAACCAATTGATCTTGTAATAATTAATTACTAACATAGATTTTTTTAATACAGAAAAATACCTCTCAAGCTCATTTACTAAAGAAAAAATCCCCTAATATGTTAAAAAACAAATAAAAAAAAACTTATCATCACACGAAGTCAGTACATTTACCAATACAATACTGAACGGCTGCATCACTGCGATATAGTCCTACCTTTTATTCTAAAGTGCGTTACCATTCTCATGATGAACAGAATAATGATTATGCTAATTATAGTTGTAAAGCTGGTGTAAGCCAGTAGATTAAGTGGCAAGAAGCATTATCGAGCGAGGTTCAGTGTACAAGATGCTGTTGACACGTAAGGTCAAGTTACAGCGGGAATTATTCACAAAGCAAGCCACCATCGATTGTATTGAACTATATGACCTTCCTTGCTATACATTATTGCAGTCTAAAATCCTGAGTTAGGAAACCTCGGTTACAAAGACTAGACGATTTCATCAAATAATATCGCATATAATTAGCAAAAGAGGTGAGTATTTTTACTTTGGAAATAAAATATCAAGATTTGTTTAAAAAAGGAAACGTTTTACAAGACATTCACGTTGCCGGCATAGGTATTTTTTTGGGAGAAACTGTCATAATGTTGTTCGTTGTAATGCCATCAAATATTCTAAAAGAAGAAGGCTTATACTTTTAGTGTGATTTACCACATATGTTCTTAATCAGCGGCTAGTACTTCTTGATAGGGATTAAATCGTTATATAAGATTTTGTTTATATTGTACCTCATCTAACATATATGTTATGATCAAGCTTTTATTTATCAACCAAACTGGTCTTTGTATGAAATCTAGTAGATGGGTTTTGCATCAAAGATCAATCAATAAACGACACTGTAGTGGAAGATAACAAGCCAAGGGTGATTTTTTATTGCAGGTAATATAGGTGTGTTGACTGATAGTTTTTTCTATATTATTATGTGTTGTAATATTCAATTATCTTTTTCAATAACGACTTTTAAATTAATAACACTTAATCTTATATTCAGGATTCTTATTGATCCTATTATATGTATACTTTTGTAAATTATTATTTTCCTTATTATTCGATGGCAAAATTAGTTAAATTATTTATATATATATATATATATATATATTGTTTTTATAACAGCTGCAGGGGTAACATCATAGTGGATCTCTGTTATAGTTAAGTAAAATAATAGTATATAGCCACGTTTTTCCGTTGTTTTGTTTTTCTCTGTATGCATGTTTCATCATAAACTATCATTTTAAAATGTTTCTCATTTTAAATACTCAATAATATTTTAACAGAACCTATTGATACTAACAATAAATTGTTCACAAACATGAAATACCCGCATGGTCAACCGTGTAGTCATGTTTTCAAAAGTGCTAGACTTTGCATATAAATAACTTAGCATAATGTAATTATGTTTGGTCATAGTTTAAAATCATGAGATGGTCTTATGGGTTTCAGAAAACATTTTACAAAAAATAAGGTAGGATGAAGTACCAGGGAATTGATCGATTCTTAAAAACTTTACCTCCTAACAGTTATCTACAAAAATCTCCGTTAGGTCTTTTCAGTGAATATTCAAAAGGGAAGGCCAGGTAACAAATGTTGTATGCTACTAACACCCAGAGAAGTGTGCGTCAAGACTCTGCTATGTGTTACCAACTTTAAAACACATTCTCATTATATACGGTCCAAAATATGGTGTCAATATGTGGTAAATTTATACATGGTATATGGTTATATATGGTCAGTATAGTTTACTTTAAGGTTTTGGTACATGTTATTGAGATGTAAAAATTTAATATTAGTTGTAATCAATTTGGATCACCTTCGGGTGATAGAAAATATGCCACGTCTGTTACAAGAATATGAAGTAAGATTTCCTCTCAAGCGAAGATTGCTTCGGTAAAAAACAAAGTTTAAGATCAAAGAGAAAGTATCGCAGAAAATAGATCGAATGACTGCACTTCACGCATAAGCTTTATTTTGTAGGTTTATGTAGTTAGGAGGATTTCATTAAATATGTAAGTCTTATTTAAATTAAAACATAAAAATAACTTGACTCTTTTTGCACTTATAGTTATAGGCTATCAACATAAAGAGGTAAGCAGAAAGAAGTTACGGGATTAATTTGTATTAGTCATTAGTATCAAATTACAGTTTAATGCTTTTTAGGAAAATACATTACAGCTTTTGGCAATCTATTTTTTCAAGATTTAAAATTTGACTAGCCGGTTTAATTACCATTTTATATCGTAGTTTGTAAAACCTACATGATGGCTAAGCTCAGAAAAAACAACCTTTTTTGAAATGGTTAACTATGGCTAAAAGCTAAATTTACAATAGCATGTTCATTTTTAAAGTACCGGGTGTTTATAATGAATATAAAAATGTCCAATTCATCATTCGACGAGCACAAAAGATTAACTGTATTTTGAAGAACATCTATAAATTTATATAAAATTGTAGTTATGAAAATTTTATTTAGCTATGCTATTTAATTAGTATGCCTATTAGCAAGTTCCAAGCCTCGCAGTTAAACGTTAAGTTTTTACCACAGAAAAACGTACCAATTAATTAAATGTAACGCAATAAAATTATCACGATATCATTCTTTAAATATATAAGAACAAATTTAAAGGTACTCAAGTAAAAAAATCTTCTATCATTTGGACTTTGGTTATTTTGTTATAAAGTATATTTACATTATTTGTAACACGAAGGTGTTTTTCGAAATGCAGTTACTAAACCACGACAATGCCTATATTCGTTTGCTACAAGAGTCACAGTTACTGTAGAAACTCAAAATCTGTGGCGGAAGCCTCTTGGGACGTAATCAAAGGACTCTTTGTAACAGAGGGACATCTGATGTTTCACACAGTGTAGACTTGGCAATTGTTTACACATGACCTCACTCAAAGTTAAAATTTTAGGTTTTAGTGGGCAGTAACTGCTTTGTATAAACTGTAAGCTGCAATTAAATTCATAGTAGTCAAATGTATTCAGCCTCAATACTAGGAAATGTTTTCTGTTGTAATAAGGAGAATATTGAACAACAATCTTGTTAATGTAACGTTACGTTTGATTTCAATCGTTGCTACATTATATGTGCAAGTAAGTAACCAAATATCACCTTGTAATCGCAAATTATTATGAATGGGTGAATAAGATAGGAACACCTGATTAAACAGAAAGCAGATTTATTAACAAAAATATGTACAGTAAATGGTGTGCCAGATGAGGGAATGATACTCTAGGGGTGCGGGGCTCACGGCACAACTAGTTTATGTTCCCTCGCTTTTGGCTGGCACACACGACATAGTCTTTGAATCTTAAATATTTATTTGATTTATTAATACCTGTAACCTTATAGTTTCGCGTAATTCATCGCTTTCTTGTAATAAGTTTGTAAATTAAAAATTTTGTAAAATCAAAATTTAGTTGTTAAATAGTCCTAAATGATTTGGTGGTTTTCTTTCAAGTATTAGGAAACATTTATGTTACACCACAACTTAATATAGCTGTTAATGGTTTCTTTCATTCTTCAGTTTGTACTAAAACATTCTAATATTTTCACCAATAAACTATCATGAAAAGCTATCACCTAAAATAAATAGGCTAAAATTTACCTTAAGTCGATAAAACTCTGACACAAATCAATAATTTGCATTATATATCACATAAATTCAACTGGAATTCCCAAAAACACCTGTAGACTGTGAACCTATTAAAAACTTCTATACAACCTTAGTCAACTATTTACATTATATTATAGTTTTTCCTTGACAGTAGTAAAACTAATAAATAGTTAACAAAACAATAAATACATTATAAAGACGTCTTTATATTCTCTTTACAACATATCACGCAGGTGACTTCATGTGAAGCAGCTTTTTGAATGCTCTCCTAAAGTCCAAATTGAATATAGTATAGATTATAGGATTCAGAGCAGAATTAATGTAACCAAGCCATGTGATAAAGTTTACAAAGGTAGTTGAGGGACAGCAAGTGCTGCAAAAGGGAAGAATGACATACATGAGAAAAAAGGGAAGCCAACAGAACACAAATACTCCCATAATTATACCCAAAGTGCGAGCAGCTCTTCTTTCCTTAGATAAAGATATTTTTTGCTTCTCTTCAATGAATTGGTAGACCTGGTTTACACGCTTGCCAGGAAGCATGACATCCGTGTCCTTCTGATTGATGACCTTTGAGTGTGGGGACGAGTCCCCGGCTGTCGTGATAGTGTTTGTTGGAGTACGGCAGGCTTCATCTACATTTACATTTCCACTGGGTCTCCTTTTCTCATCGTGAACATCTGTTACTGAATCTTCGGCCGCGTAGTTTGGGGTCAAATATTTACTTTTCTCTTCTATTGGTTTCTTTTTTTTCTTTTTCCCTTTTTTCTTCTTATCTTGTCTCGCATTACCCGGATGCTCGTTATGATTCGTTTCACTACTCACCGACTCTTGATCCAGAGGTGACTGTCGTTCTTTTACTGAATTGTTCTGCGTCGCAATGGAGTTTTTCACAGCATTGAGTTTGGAAGCTTTCGCCCTCTCGCGCAGTCTACGGCGGGTAGCGACATATATCTCTATATAAACTATAGTCATAATAAGAGCGGGAATAAAAAATGACCCTAATGAAGAGTATATGATGTATCCTTTTTGTGATGTGAGCTGACAAGGGGTGTTGTCGTCGAAAACCTTCGGCCAGTCGTTCCAGCCTAAGAGAGGAGGTGAGCAGATTACTGCAGAAAGAATCCAAACCAGAGCGATCATTATCATGACTCGGTTTAGTGTCCTCTTCTGAGCGTAATTTATCGGGTCTGTGATAGCCCAAAACCTGTCTAAAGCTACGGCACACAAGTTCAGGATGGAAGCTGTGCAGCACATGACATCGCTGGTTAACCACATGGTACACACTAGTTTACCGAACACCCATCGTCCATGCAAAGAGTACGCAACGTTAAATGGAAGCACTAGTATTGCCACTGTTAAGTCAGCTACCGCTAAAGATACTATGAAAAAGTTCTGTACTATCCTGAGTGGCTTGTAGGTAAACACACTGAGAATTACTAATATGTTTCCAACTATCGTTATTACTATGATGAAACCTAGCACTAGAAGCGTGATTAGGGCCTCCCACATTGGTACAGCCAAAGGGAACCCTGTGAAGTTGTCGTACAGGTTTACCTCTTCTTTTGGACATTTTAAATCTGTAGTGGATAAATTACTATTGTTTAAAAATTCCTCGCCCATTAGTGTAGCCAACTGTTTAGAGAGTAGAAAATCTTCATCTTCTCAGGTTTCTGTCAGGTTCATCTTCTCAGGTGTGTTTAATCTCGCAGTCCTGCAACAAAACCAAAATAATAATATAAATTAAACAATAATGCACAATTATACAATTAAAAATCAAATTAAAAATACGATTTGTAAGAGTAAACCTTAAAATACGAAAATCTTGATCCCCCATATAAATGTTGAATTTAACGATTTAAGAATTTCATTTTAATTCCAAATATTTTACTAATAAATTCATTTTTTCCACACAAGAGCAAAATGAAAATTGTTATGAAAGATATGAATGTTGAATTTTACGATTTAAGAATTCCATTTTAATTCCAAATATTTTACTGATAAATTGATCTTTTTTCCACACGAGAGCAAAATGAAAATTGTTATGAAACACTTGGGGTGCAAAACATATAGATTATTACTCTGTAACACTAAACAAAAGTATAAATAGTTGATGTTATGGTACGCAGTAATCTTTTTAGAAGTAATATCAAAATGGGAGAGCTATATTTTTTATGAGAAGGACTGAGAGGTCGTACTTGTTTGCTAAGAACGGTAGCAGCGTCGAGTGTTAGGGAGGCGAGTGGTCCTTTCGGTGGGAGAGGGGGGTGGCGTTGGCGGCATTATGTGATTGGTTCTCCTTACATAAACTTGAAATTTTTGTTCTCATCCATCAAAGTAACTAAGTTACTGAAACGTACCTGGGACTATTTGGTATCGTACCATAACGCTTTCTGATGTATTTGTTTGCTTGCAAAAAATAACAACTTGAGTTTTTTTTTCTAATTCATTTCACAAATCTCTTATATTTACACTATGTTGCACGTCGTCTGAAATAAATAAAGTAGTGTTACAAACAAAAAAAGACACATAATCGACCGCAGCATCAAAGTATATGTGCCAGTAGCTGATACCGAACCTACATACCTGGCCTACTAGTTGGAGACACTATGGTTGCTCACCACATTTTAGTTAACACTGTCTTCATGTTTCCCACCTTTGTAAATATATTTCCATATAGACAGTATTCTATTTTTTCAAAAGAATCCCAAAGGCAAAATATTTTTATGATGAGATTGTTTGGTTGAGTAGGATAAGACAAAATAAAAAAAATATATATTACACCCGTAAATTAGTAAATTACTCTAGATTTACACGTACAAATTATAAATTTTGTGATATGTAGCTCTAAAAGCAAACATACATTGTTAGTTACTTTTGAAATATTGCGGTTTCAAACTGTTATTTTGTACGTCCAAGTTAAAAGATGTTCACTATAATAATTGCACATGCAAGGAAATAAATCCCACTTGACTCTAGGACTGCGAAGGAAACTTGTAAACAAGCTATAAAATCAAGCTTAGAAAAGTAGCTGGTTTACGATTTTGTAGAATATGGCATTAAATCGTACAATAATTAGGTTATTAGTTCGATCACCACTAATTGTTTGGTCAGGCGTATCTTGTCCTATCGGAGAGCCGCAGTTTTGCTCCTCTTTAATCCTTTTTTGTATAAAAATTAAAATAATAATCCCAAATAACTGAATAAGCTTACGATATATAGGCCTATCACTTTTACTTAACCAAAAGTCTATGATATAGCATAAACGGAAAAAAATAAAACCTAAACTTTTAATCCTAATATATCCATAAAAAATCATTCTGGTATTTAAACTGTCATGATAAAGACGTTATGACATTTTGCATTGACGAAATAGCAATGACAATGTCAATTTGTCGATGAAAACTAAATTAACCTAACTAATAGAAACTCCCCACACTGGTAACAGTGGTATTTTAGTCTTATCAACTGAGCTGGCTCACTAACACATTACAACCCTTTTTGGTTAGGTATAAGGGATTACGAATTATCTTTCACGAACAATAATCCAAAATAGTACGTGAGCCAACACACAGTTTACATTCTATTGTAGTGATTCCGCTAATCCAGAGGTCAATGTGGGTGACGGTATCAGCTGAACTGGCGGAATCTCACGTGGTCTATATCCATCGCATGTTTACCTCCACAGTCGCATTCGTATTGCAAACGAAACGGAAATATTGCGGATGAGTAAACACGAGTAACAAGCTCTTTGTAGACGAGCCTCCCTCGCCCGCGCCCGCGCCCCACTTACTGTATTGACACCTGAAACAAGAGTCGCTCGTTAGTCGAACAGTTATCGATATCAAACGTACAAGATACTACTTTATTAACAGATTCAAATACTTCTGTTACGCGATTGCATGAGCACTGTATTTTGGGTTGACTTTGTATGGCGTGTACGCAATTTTTCTATTCATTGAACATTTAAAAAGTTGGGTTATCAAATCAAATGTTTATGTATGTATCGGGTCAAAAAAATGATAATATATTTGCAATTAGCTTGGTAAAACAAAAATACTAATAACCATTAAAAATTTTAATATATTAAAACATATAAAACTGTTAATATATGTTATGTTAGTAACTCTTAGACGCCGTAACAGGCATTATTAGCAATGCAAGGTTTGGATGTTTTTATTTTATATTTTTAAAGGATTGTTTCTAAGTTATGAGAAAGAAGGGAGTTTGTTGTACAGTTTTATGCCAACGTAGAAATTAGTGCTTTGAACAAAATATGTTTTGTGTTTAGGAATCATTAACAAAATTGAATTACGCAATGTATATGGACTTTCAATTGAAAAGTCAAAATACGAAAAGTTTTGTTTTGAGATTGTCAAAGAAGAATGTTTAAAATGTTGTTAAAGAATGTTAAAATGTTTGTTTAAAATGTGTGTTTTTAGGATGGAAAGGTGAGACTTAATATTACTCCCTGTAGAACTGGCCTTGGCAAAGAGATATAGTCCACACACCAACATTTTGGAAATTGAAGATACATTTTGTCTGATGCTCTCAAATCCTCAAATTACAACCGAATTATGCTAGACGGAGATAGATGAACCCATAATAAACAGTTACCAGCAGTCTATATTTTAATTTTTCTGAGAAGTCAAGAAAAAAATGCAAGAACTAAGCTTACTAGAAATGTGTTTGACATGGCTATCTAAACTAAATCTCTCGTCTATGATCATTCCATAAAACTTCTCATATGCTGTTTTGTGAACCTCGGTCTCGTCCAGAAGAAGACTGAACCAACCCTCTCAGTTCTTATAGTCCTCGCCACCCTAAGTTGAGGCAACCAAAGGACGCACTAGATATACGCCGTGCGGCCTTGGGCTGCCTCAAGTTAGGGTGGCGAGGACTATAGTAGAGTTACATCTACATTCTACTTTAGAGCTATCTGCCATAACGTTTGTAATCAATACTCTAGTAGAGTTACATCTTAGTCAAATGAAGATTTATAAGTTGCGTTTTTCAGTCTTTTGCGGGTAAGTTGTCGTCAAAACATTGACTTAGTATTTTGTTTCAGAACAATATATGTGTTCAAGATTGTAAGTATTAGAACTGGATATGGAAAGAGACGTATCGTCGGCAAATGGTGATAATTAATTTTGATGAAGTGGTGCATGAAGGGAGGTTGTTGATAACAATTAGAAAAAGGCACCGGCCAGAGAACAGAGCCCCGCGGTACACTTCTCACAACTGATTTCTCAGCTGAGGGATAGGATCTTAAATAACCAACCTCGTCTGAAAATGGTTTATGTGATAAATAAATGGCTTAACCCAGTTCACAACCAATCTTTTTACCCCCAATGGTGAACTGTATCAAAGGCTTTACTTAAATTGAAGAAGAGACCATCAGAATAGTTACCTTTGTCTAGTTCTCGTATTACCTCAGTTAAAAACATTGCTGATGTGATGGATTTACCTTGCTTATGAATATATGCTTATGAATATATGAATTTATGCTTATGAATATAGCTTTACATTTTTCTAGAAAATTTAACATCCTGTTTAACATCATCTCGTCAAATGCCTTAGAAAAAGCAGACACAACGTTACTACTTAAAGAGCCACTAAGAAATCAAATATTGACTAAATGGTATTATAGGGCTTTGCTAAGTGAATAATTTTTTTTTTGTTTTTGTAAGAAGACAGATATTCCATCATCAGCAGACAACTCATTGTTTAAGCTTCTAATTAATTGTATCCAAGATCTATTCCTCAGTCGTTGGATACAGAAACATTTGAATCGTGTTATTTATGCGTCAATTTGGACTGTTATTCTACAAATGTTACAACTTTTCCTTATATCTGACTTTTGACATATACAGTTTTATTTAGTCTAGACACTTATTAGTGTCACTGTGGCTTATGTCATAACTCTTCCTTATGGTCATCATTCTTCAGAATTGTTTCTGAGGGTTTCATCTTAGAGAATCTTAGCTTTTTTTGTCGGAATTCTCTCTTCTACGATGTGCTGCCTTCGGGTATTAATAGTATGTTAAATGAATTGTAAAATCTTTGCAATGAAAAGAATTATATGTTTTATTATCTTGTTATTTTTTTACGAAGTAAATATATTTGAATTCATTTTAATTCTACCGAAGCAAAATATCTGTTGAACCGGTAACAGTATAATGAGACACAACGACGAAATGTTTAGGCTCATTTGCAATGTTACAATCAGTGCCATACATTACTATAATTACTTAGACCAAAGCACCGAATTCATGTGATATAATGAGTTAAGAAGTACGTGAGTTATATTTTGCCAGGATATATTTAAAATAAATGCTCTTTCAAACAACTTTGGGCCATATGAAGGTAATTCAAAAAATATACTAGTATTCAGTATTCAAGAGGGAACAGTCATATGATAATCTACAGATGGTTGTTTTATTATAAAAAAATATATAAGCCTAGTCAGCTCAAAGTTTTACGGGATTTTACAGAGACACCACCAGATTATTGTATACAGGGTGACCCGTAAGTGAGTTCAAAAAATTCAGGAATATTTTCTTGGGTCAAAATAAAACGAAAATCAACAATAACATTTTTTCCAAAAATTTCACTTTAGCCGGATCATTACATAGGAAGTTAAATGGTAAATAAAGGTTATCTTGGAGTTTTAAATAAAATCAGCCGTTATTAGTTGTTTAAGTTATAACATTT